AGAAGGTATTACATAAATGAGAAGATTTATAATGTTAAGGACACAATAAATATTTTAGGTGAAATGTTTGTAAAATATGGTCAAAGTGATTACTGTAATAACTAAAGCATAATAAAATAAATTTTATGTAACAAAAGAAAAAAAAACTGACTTTTGGGTAATAACTAAAGCATAGTAAAATAATTTTTGTGTAACAAAAGAAAAAAAGTAATTTTTGGGTAATAAGCACAAAGTTAAATAAATTTTACGTAACAAAAGAAAGAAAAATAAATTTTGGGTAATGAATACAACGTTGAATGACCAAATTTACTTATTTAATTAAAAGTGTTTTCTTCTTCTTCTTCTTCATTCTTCATTCTTCTTTCCTCATCTGCGATTAATTACAACAAAATTTCCATTGAAGGCCCTCAAGCTTTCTCAGGCAGCAGAACCCTTAACCAAATAATCGTTCTATCTTATATTTTCATTCACATCCTCATTTTTATTATTTATTTCTATATCAACTGAAACCTCACCCAAAACATACCAAAAATTTTGCCTGCCATTCACAACCCAAGAGAATAAAAAATAAATGGGTTCCTTTTGTTTATTTTATTTTTTATTTTTACACTTCACCAGATGGAGTTGTGGGAAAAGTAAAAAAGTAGTACTAATAGTAGTAGACTAGTAGTACCTTCGTTTTGGAACATCAAGGAACCATTATTTTCGACGGTGAGAATGTTTTCCGATAATAGAATTGTGTAATTTTCTCTATTAATTTGACTTGAAAGTAACAGTTTTTCTGAAAATGTGATTTGTGGGTGAGAGAGAAAGATAGAGGAAGAAGTTTGGTAGAAGAAACAGAAGGAAAATGCCGAAACATTTCACCGGCGACTTATGTATGCGCCGAGAACGGTGAGACGGCGAGGTAAGAGAAAAAACGAGTAGAAGAAAATAAAAAATAATAAAAACAACGGAAAATGACCAAAATTGCTCTTAAACTATTGGAAATAGAGCAATTTTTCCCTCAATTGGATTTGGGTATCAATAATATCCCTGCCATTAATAAACTGGCCACTTATACCCTCAAAACTAACTGTTACTCCACAGGGGCACAAAGCGTTATAAAAAAATATTTTTTTAGCTGAATTGGATCTCCACCCAGGATTGATATTATCTTCTCCAACCCAAAGAGAACCATGGACGACCACCTGAAAATTTGCTCTAGGAAGAAAGCCATCCACAACGACAAAGAGCCAAATTTACCTTTTCACTACCTGAATATTCATTGAAACTGTCACAATTCTAATAATCCAGAAGGCAACTTCAAGTTAGAAATTCAAGATGTGAAGTTAAAAATTGTGAAATGCTTATCTAATCAATTCTTTATCTGCAAAACTAAAACATAGAGTATCAAACAATAATAATTAAAGCAGATGACCATTTAACATAAGTGCTCACCAAATTCAACATGTCACTCAGATATAGATGAAAAACAAAGAAATAAAACTCACCACTATAAGAGAGCTCAACCATTGAAAAAAGGGACCTTTCGTCACCAATAGCCCACCAAAATAGTGAAGGTGCCAACCTTATCCATTACCACTTAAACAATACCAATGAGTCACCCTCCAAACCCATTTTCAAAATCTTAAATTTCTTCCTTAGAAAAGCTTCAGATCTGTCTGGCAATATCGCCCTCAGAATAAACTCGGACCGGAGAACCTTTCGATTTGGCAGACAAGGTCTTTTTGGCGCACGAGTCATCTTTTTCGGCTAGGTTGATATGCCTTTTTCTGATATTGGTGATTCGTGCAAGGAAGAGAAGATGAGATAAAAGTGAAAGATTAGCTGCCAACGTTTGCTCCCATTGGAACTGCTTTCCGCGGTAAATTAGTCGCTGCTTTACTGTGGGTATTCTAATGAATAACTTGATTTTCATGGTGAATCACTTTCTCTGAGTCCCTAGAATGGGCTGGAATAACCGGTAAGGATAAGAAGATGGGGGTGTACTGGTGGCTCTTGGTGGATGAACGGTAGCAAATTTGATTTTTGGAGTGGTTAAATAGTTATGTTTATCATCCAAAGTAAAAAGAAGACAATATCAATCCTACGTGGAGATCCAATTCAGCCAAAAAATATTTTCTTAAGATGTTTTGTGCCTATGTGGCGTAATCGTTAGTTTTGAGGGTATAAGTGAGCCAGTTTATTAACAATAGGGATAATATTATACCAAAACCAAACTGAGGGCAAAATTGTTGTATTTTCAATAGTTTAAGGATAATTTTGGCCCTAGTCAAAGACAGGTACAAAAATAAACTTTTACATACTTTCTTTCTTTGTACTGTCTTTGCCACCTAAGCACTCAGGAAGGAAGTACTTCTATTTTAAAAAAGTTTAAGGAGGTAATATGACTCTTACAAAGATAAAGGGTGTGTTTGGTATGAATGTTCAATTTTTTTTATGTTTGGTTGGCCTAAATGTTTTGAA